CGCGTCTTTCTCATTCATCAGGGCGACTCAGTCTGATTCAGCATCATTACCAGGTCAAACCCCAGAATGAAATGGGTCTAAATAATCATTGTTCCCCAAGCGTCTCTGCCATGGCTGTGCTACCACCTTCTCAAATACCTCCCTGAAAAGCAAGACAGCAAGAACCAGCCCTTCATGCAAAGATGTGTTTACCACTCCCTGGACTCACCCAGTTACACCCCCTTGGCTAGCTTGCACCAGCCAGGAAGGGCAGGGATCAAGAGAGCACACAGTTGGGGGCCCTGCTGTTATTTGGACATGTCATCAAGTCAAAATAACTGAATCTGATCCCACAGGTGTGGGCAGATGGTGGTGCTGGACACTTAGCCTGGAGCTGCATTAGTAGCAGTGTCAAGTTCACTGCAGAGACCAGCAATTCTGTCCTCAAAGTGTGATGTAAAAAGGTCACTTTGGGTCTTTGAGGGGGCTGGGGCCCCATTCACTGGAGAGGCAGTTAACAGGCAGGCCACCAGAGGAGAGCTGCTGGACAACTACTTGAGGGGACAATGGAACCAACAAAACAACCTCCTTTGATACCCGCATTGCCACGCTCTAGAGCATGTTTGGTCATCTTCACTTCAAGCCTCCGTCCATTTATGCCCTAGCCAGTGTTCAGCCTGATTCATCAACTCCCTAGTACGCAAAGGATCAGTCCAGTCTATACAGCACAGGCAAAGGCACTTAGGCACTATCTAACCCATGGTCCTCTACAGCTCACCACTCTACAGTGCAAGTAGGGCCTCAGATGGCCACTGGAAAATCCCCAGGAACGTCCAGAAATCCATTGGATTCCATCAGTCTCCTGGGTGGACCCAGGAATGGGCTCCTCAGCCCTGCAAGAAGGGAGTCATATTGTGATCCCAAGCCTCAATGGGAATTGTCTGACCATGACAATGGGTTGTTTGGACCCCTCCCCGCACTCACAGAATGCTCATTTCATGACCTGAAGCAAAGACCAAATCAAGAGTATGCCCCACTTCATGTCTTAGGCTGATGACAAACTAAGACAACCCCATAGATGTCATGGAGACCATGAAGTCCCAAGCTGGGGCTCCAGAGGCAGCCTCAGCATAGAAACTGGAGTCATCCAGAGATGTCATCCTGGGCTCCTCCAGTACCACACTGAGCCCACCTCTGCCACATTCATCAGGGGGGATGTCAGGCAGCAGGGTGGCCAGTATACCAGCAGCATGCCCAGCCTGCCTCTGTGGAGGCAGAAGAATCCGCTCAAAGCTGGCTCCAAGGCACAGCGGTTACCTGGTGACGAGCATGTAAGTTCAGTGAGTCATGGTCACTCTCCCCAGCCTATGCTGGTGCATATTGCTATAGTAATAACCTCCTAATAGAAATCTGAGGAGGTTATTTCAAAATGCATGCCAATACAATACCACTTTACACACTCACCATAATTTATGGGGATTATGGGCATGTGATGAAACGCAGTAGGTGCATACATACCCATGCAACATGCCCCGACGCCTATATGAATCTATGCTGAGCCAAATGTTGATCCATTTCCGTGTTGAAAGTTGTGCTATTTTTCATTTGTGTGTATAACTATTTCTTGGGGAAGGGGGACACTTTCAAATCTTGCTCACTGCCATTTTCCCACCTGCTGCTGCTCTTGCTCCATTGTTACTATTCAAATTATTGCATCTCCTCTGGTTCATTTAATAACCCTTCCCAGAACAGCCTATCAGGGACCACATAGTGCCTGACTGGACTGCTGCTCCCTGGTTTCACATGCCAAAAAGGACAGATTCAATCCTTCTCCAGGTAAGGCGAGAAAACATGCTCATCGGAAGCCCTGGAGAGCTGTTGTCAGTCAGAAAAGAGACCGATGGTCTGCCTTGCTATGTCCCTAAGACATCTGTCTTTCCCCCCACAAAACCCCAAACAATAACTCCCTATTTATTGATTTAAGCCATATGCCCCAGTTCAAGAAATGTTAATGATATTTAAATCCCACTGAGATCACAAACTTAATTCCCACTGATACAGCTGAGACCTAAACACAACTGACTTCTGCTGAATTGGGCCTATGAATTTGGACCAAGTTATAGGTTGGATCAATTACACTGGCAGTTGATAAGTGGACTTCACTGTCCTCTCCTTCCCACGGCAGCCCCTCTGATCCCCAAAAATGCTACACAAAGAGTCAGAAGATCTTGCTAGATGAGGTGAGCTGTGGTATAGAGGGGACGGAAGATGGGCAGAGCAGAGGGAGCTTCCATACGGAAAACATCCTCTCCAGGATGTCAGGTCCTGAAGCCATCCATGCCCTAGTCTGAAGAAGGGACATTCAAGCAGCATCAAAATGTCTCTGTCCAAGGCTCCAGCTCCACAAATGTTTCTAAGTGCATACGACGTGGTCATGACCAAATAAATGAAGTGCAAGAACGTATTTACAGGAACAGAGAGGCGGTTAATTGCACTAATTTCCCACAATTAATGCAGTACAAGAAAGTTGTCAAGCACTTCAAGAAAGAAGATCGGAGCACATGTACACAAAAAGATCGACTGACTAATTTCTTAACTCTGCCTCCTCAGAACATACTGATACCTACTTTAGATTTCTAAATGCATCAGTAAAAATTACAGCCTACACATGTTTGCTGTGCATGTCCCTTTAACAAAAGAAGGCAAATTATTACTCTTGCCGTTTGCCTTAATTTAACAGCTAGTAGTAATGGCCATCCAAGGGAAGGCGAAGAGGGAGGGAGGGAAGGAGGAACAAATAAGTTACTAGGAGCAGAAACTTTCCTTCGAGGCTACTTCTGGAGCTGACTTCCTGTTCTCTTACAGCCAAGATCACCTTTTACACTGCTTTAACATAGGACAAATTGACTTTCAGCTTTTCTGATATCTGAAATGCATATATTTATAAACCCTCCATTGTCTTGAACACACATTCAATGCAAAACCTCCTTTTACTCGATCACACATGAATTTCATCAACAAATCACTCATGCAATTGACCCAAACTGGCATTGGCGCAGTGCCTCTCCCCGCTTCTACCCATGCCTCCCCACAACCAGTGGGAATCTTGATTAACCGGGTTTTGCCAATCATGCTCTCTCACATATCTCATTTTTGACCCTGAAGCGAGGGGTGAAGGGGTTCAGGCTAGATACTGAGCGAGGTCACTTCCAAGGCTGAGGTCAGATATGAAGAATAGGGTGAGCGCAGAGCGGAGGGGAGGGGAGGGAGACACGGGTTCATGGAAGGTGTGAGCTTAATTAAGGATGTATTCACAGGGAGAGGGCAAGACTGGAATTCAATCAGGTTTCTTTGCAATTTTTCTAGGGGAGGATGAGAGCCCATGAAAGTGCTCGAGACTAAGACAAAGTCTGGAAGAGGCATTTGAACCTTTTAATGCTACAATCCTGCAATACTTTCTCGGTCCATTCTGCTGGAATCCATAGGGTTTGCTTCACTTCCAGAAATATGGACTTCAGATCTAGGTGTAAAGACAGCTTGCAAAGGAAGCAGCCAGTATGGTAACCCGAGAAGGGGCTGGTGCTGTTTTTATACAGGAACACTGAGTACTAGAGGCACTTTTAGGGATGGCTCTGAGAGATCTCTGTGGCTCAGTCTTGGCTTATGCAGAAAGCCTTGTCATATTGTGTACACCAGAGGCACAGAGGATTACGTTGATTAAGGAGAGCTCATTGGGAAACTGTGAACTTTAAAAGGTGGGGAGAGTGCTTTATGTATGTGCACTGCTAATTAACTGAAGCAAATAAGCTTCCCTCTTTCCCCCTCACTGGAACATTGTGGCTACCTCTGTGTGGAAACGGGCTTGTGGAAAGGAAGCTGTATGGAATCCCCTCCCCATCTTGTAAAGGACTGAACAGAAAGGCAGAGTGAATGCTGGGCAGAAGCTTGGAAGGGGGCAGATGTTCTTCAGCACCAGCTCCCATTGCCCAAGTCCCTTGGCCATGCTGGCTCAGGCTGATGGGAATAGGAATCCAATGACATCTGGGGGACCACAGGTTGCCCACCTCTGGCTTCAAACTGATGAGTACTGGGGCTAAAAATAATGATGGCTACACAACAATTCTGATCAGGAAGTCAGAGTGAGGTTGAGCTACCACCAGAGGTGAGATAACTAGGAGGGGAAACTGTGGATGTGAGTGAGGAAAAGCTTGTGGCTGGTTTGTGCCAAGCACTTTGGGTTTAAGAAGGGGCCTGGCAAGACTTGGGCATCATGGTTTGGTTTGTTGGAAGGAGACTTCATAGTGATGAGATGGGACTGAAATGGGAATGCAGTCAATGAGCATCCTAGAACAAAGACTGATGGGAAGTTGTGGCTGAGAGGTAGCTGTGGGAAAGAATGGTTCACAGCCTGGAAAAGTAGCAAGGTGAGGGGCTTGCAAAGCATGCTGGGGTCTCAGGACCCTTCCTGGGCACAGTTTTAATGGGCAATCTTATACACACTTACTTGAGAGTATGCCCAAATGTTTGTTTATTCCCAGTCAACATCAACAGAACCATGCTGTACATTGCTCAAAGGACCAGAAGCATTTCCCCAATGCTACCTGACTCAGTCCTGGAATATGTGAATAAAGAAATTAGTGCCTCTGAACATGCCCAAAGTATTTTTCTTGCTACTAGACAACAACCACGGCCGTTTCCATTCATGGTTTATAGTCTGAGTGCTCCAACATCTTTTAAATAAGAACAAAAAAGAAATGGTGCTGCCTTGTACACGTCTAACGGTGTTGAATGGGCCTTTCCCCCCCAGATGTATGCTTGCTATGTATGTAGAGGGTGTGGGAGCCAGGCTGTAAGTGAACCCATCCTTTTAGCTCCATGAAGAGAGCACCTAGTCAGCTCGCCTTCACATCCCATCACGGAGGGGAGGGGAAAGGGAAGACGGCCCCTCACAGTCCCACGCAACGCCCGGCACACTGATGGAGCTAGGTCAGGGTCCAAGGGCACCGGAGCCATCTACATACCTGTACCAGGAGAGTCCCCTGCCGTAGTTGCGATCGAAGAAGTGGGGCTCGGCGCCCGCCGCCCGCACGTCCGGATGCACGCGCAGAAACTCGAGCAGCGCCCGGGTGCCGCCCTTCTTCACGCCGATGATCACCGCCTGGGGCAGCCGCTTGGTGCCCTCGCTCCCCAGCTGAGCTTGCAGTAAGGGATCCCGGGGCGTGCCGGGCGCTTCCTCGCCTTGTGCGGCCGGGATCGGGGCCGGCTCCCGGGTGAGGACGCGCGCCGCCCCGGCCAGGCAGTAGCTGGCGTAGAGGGACATGACGAGCGAGCCGAGCAGCAGCAGCAGCTTCCGCAAGGCGCGGCGGGGCAGGGGCTCCGGGCCTGGCGACGAGGCGGGGGGCGCCCCTCCCCGGGCCATGCTAAGCGGCCCCCCGCGCCGGGGCCATCGCCCCCCGAGCGCAGCCGCTCAGCACCGGCGGGGAGCGGGCAGCCCCATGCAGAGGCGGCCGGAGGGGGTCCGAAAGGCTGCGGGGGAGAGACCGGCTTGCTGCCCCCTTCTCCCGCACCTCGGCTCCTGGCGCGCGGGTCTTCAGCGGCGCGTCATCCCGGCGCACGAAACTGAAGGAGCGCCCTTACTTCACCGGAAAGGGGATGGGTGGCATCGGGCCGCCGCGGGTTCAGCGAGGCCCTGGGGGAGGCGAGGGGAGCGGCGCAGACCGGCCGCGGGGCGGGGGTGGGCTTCCAACTTCAGCAGGGCTGCCGGCCGCGCTGTGCGAACACCGAGGCCGGCGGGCAGGGGCGAGCGGCTGGCGCATCCGAGCGCGGCCACAGCAGCGGCGAGCCACGCGCCCGAGCGAGCGGTGCAGCCCCGCCGCCGCCTCCGGGCAAACGAAGCGCTCGTGCTACGGGGACGAGCGAGGGCGCATCCTGCGAAGTTCAGGGGCATCCCAGGGGTGAGCGGTGAGGACCGCGCGGGCGTGGGATGGGCGCGCTTCGCCGAGGCAAGCGCCCGCCGCTGCAGCCCTTCCGATGGCTCGCCCTCCTCCGCTTGCCCGGCTCCGTGCCGATGAGGCGGAGATCCGGAGCCCAGCCCGTGTGCCCTCTGTCCTGCCGAGCAGATCGGAGACCTCGGGGACCGCCTCTGGGCCAGCGGGGCTTTCTGGCCCGCAACAGAAAAAGAGCGACCGGTCGCGACCCCTTGAACCGGCCTTTGCTTGAAAGCGGCCCGGGCGGCGACGGCGTTTCTCTGGGTCTTGCTCGGATTTTGCCTGCTGGACCGGGTCCGTCGCTCTGCGCCCACTTTGCACGAACGGATGGCTGGCCGTGGCGCGCCGTGGCGTGGCGGGGAGGGAGGCGAAAGCCCTTCCCAATCCCAGTCGCCTCTCACCTTTCCTGCGCTGGGGTTCTCTTTTCCCGGCTGCTCCAGCGGCTGCCACACGTGGAGCTCTTGATTGTAGCAAAAACTTCGGCGAAAGGCACCTCGGCGCTCGATCGGCGTGCCCGGCAGCCAATGGGAGGCTGAGAAAGGGAAAGGGGGCGGACGTCTTTTCAGAGAGGAATAGGAAAGGAGGCGGGGAAACAACGGAGAGAGGCACGCCCCCTGCCTCCTAGATCGGGGAGCCGCTTTTGTTACACCCCATGTAAACCGCGAAGGTATAAGGATTGCGAATTAATGTCAGACGCGCATAGAAAGTCTCCGATCCTATTCACAGTCAATCAGATACAGGTCCTGCTCAATTCACCGAGTCTTTCTGTACAACCGCACAACACTTAGCGGGCTATGGATTTTATACCCCCACATACAGAGCCTTCACCGAGGGCTCGCAAGGTTGAATTGCCCAGGTGTTTTGGACAACCGTTCGCGAAATCCTGGACCACACTGGCCATGCTGGTTGAGGTTGACGGGAGTTGTAGTCCAAGATATCCAGAAGGTATACCCTGCTACACACCCTCACTCAGATCATTTTGCCATCCCTATGGAGCAGGTTATCAATGATCCCACTTTTATAGATGGGAAACAGGCATTTCAGTTCGTTCTCTGTCTGGTGTTCTGCTTTGCTTGCCTGGAAAAAGCAAAAGAAAGTCCATGCAAGACGCCACCTGATGCTCTGTCCACTTGGCAATGCCTTCTGCCAAGTTTGGAAGAAGTTAGGGCAAGTGTGCGAGCATCAGTGTGGAAGACAGATGCAGTATTTAAACATCTGTGCTTTCTTGGGTGAGTGGGACAGGACAACCAAATGCAAAGGTGAGCACAAATTCTTTACCTTCAGACATTGTTTGGAAGATGGAATACCAGCAGCCCCAGCTTGCCTTTCAGGTTGGAGGAAAACTGTAACTTGCTCAAATCCCCTCTTTCAACCTGTGGTTAAAGGTACAGGAACTTTCTGATCCTTTAAATCAGGCTATTTTTTTTTCTTTTCTTTTTCTGTTTTGGACATGTGCCTTTAGCAGAAAGGCACCTGGGTGAGTTTCCACTACATATTTCGCCAGTAGCAGTATTAATCTCTGTGTGGGAAAACTCTAATCTGACAAGTAGAATAAGTGCAAAGAATCACAGCGTAGTTAAAGAGAGAGACCGCAAGAGAGTGGGAGGGAAACCCTTAAATGAAGTTGTACCTAGTTGTAGTTGCCACCCTTGCTTCTGGTTCCAGGGCCCATTTCCAGCACATTACCCATGTGCCCTAGTTAAAAAGATGTTCTCTCACAGTGGTATATCATACACTGATTGTGCACACAGGGATCTGCCTCTTAACTTCTGCCGCAGTTGATCAGCACTTACCAGGGTTGAGGCCACGGTGAATCTCTTCCCCTGCAATCTTTTGCATGAATTAATGCAGATTCAGAAGAATTGTATATTTAACAAGGCCTATTTCCAAATACTGATCACCATGCCTAGAGAGGGAAGCCTATCTTTATCTGTATATAAGCATGCAATGTTTTAATTTCTATCATCTTTCTTATTCTTTTTGGGGAACAAATAATACATGATAATTTCTCTGCATTTCAGCCTTGAATGCCCAATAGTAAGGACCTCATTATTTCATAGCCTGCAGGGAAGTCCTTTTCACTTGGAATGGTTTTCATAGATTTTACGATTGTTGACAAATGGTGCTCATGAAACATTTTACTCCAATCTCCTCATGTTTATTTAGCATTTAAATTTAGTTCTGCTGAACATCACCGGCACAGAAGAACTCTTCTGCTGCTGCTGCTATCAGGCAAGTGAAGTTGTGGAATTCGGGGAGGAATTGGGCTGGGATGCCACCAACAGCTTTAGCATCTTGCCTATGAACAGGATATTAGAAACTGTCTGGAAGGCACCCAACATGGTATGGTTTGTAGAGAGGTCTGATCATCGCCTCCTTTGAGCCATGTCTGGAACGGCAACAGATCCTCACACCCGTCCCCCACTTAGCCCACCTCTGACAGTTTGCACTTGATTCTTGACCAGAAAGAAGAAGAATCAAGCTTGTGTGGTTGGCTTGTTCCCAGCCATCCAGTTGAAAATGCAAATCAAAACTGAAAGACAAACCCAGATGAACATAGCAGGTGCTGCACCTTGAGGTGCATATTTCTAATTATTATTAGTGTTAGGATTATTGCATTGCATTTATATTCCTCTTTTCCTTCCCTCATGAATTACTCAAGGCAGCCTACAAGGTTGTTGTCCTCTTCATGTTATCCTCACAACAACAACCCTGTGAGGTAGGTTCAGCTGAGAGGCAGTGACTGGTCCTATTTACCCAGTGGGCTCCATGGCTGAGCAGGGCCTAGAATCCAGGTCTCCTGAGTCCCAGGCCTCACTCTAAACCACTACACCGTGGAATATGTGCAGTGTGTTCTCATTGTGGACTCAGGGAGAGGGTGTATTTTGAGGATTTTTGATTTCCCCACATAAGATCTATATGCCTTCTGAATGCACACCTCTTGACGGATCCAGTATCAACAAGGCAGAATGTATGATGACTACCAGATGATTTACCGTCTGCTGTACGGACTGAACTGCTTGCACTGGGTCCAGTTTATTAAAAGCACTGTACTAAATCAGCTTCAGTCGAAAGTAGTTTCTCATTTTCTGATTTTGGTTTCTTTTTTAGGAAGAAGGCAGTTTTAGTCATTCAACATGATATTTATAAATGATGACATCGCCTGCTTCCCCCAAAACAGGGATTTTAACAGAGGCAGAACAGAGGCATGGAAGCCATTAGTCATAATTCAGTCCCAGACTGAGGACCGCATCGTTGTCAGCTAGGATCCTGACTTCTTTCTCCACTATCTGCTTGGGTCCTGCCATGCTTTCTTTAGGCCAGTATCTGGGCAAGTGGGGAGTGAAGGCTGCTGAAAATGGACCAGTCCCTTCCACATTCCCCAGGAAACTGGCAGGCTCTGTGGGCTTTACATGTGGAGCCTCCCATCCCGTCCACAGGTCTAGAGGTTAAATGGGGAGTTTGGGAGAGAGGGCGCTGAGGCTAACACATCCTTACAACTGATTACAAGGTCAAAAGCCAAAGGCAATCGCCCCTGTTCTGAGAACGGCACCAGAAGAAAACGTCGCATTGTTTGCAGGGGGTGGGGTGGAGAGCTGAGGTTACAGAGAGAAAAGAGAGGCAGATTGATAAGCAAGGGGCTATCTGACCCCAAATGGGTTTGTGCAACAAAAGCTCCTTCATCATTTAGCATGAATGGGGACAATAGAAGCAGAGGAGGAGGAGCCAGGCACAACATCCATATCAGGGAGCCCTGAGGACAAGTGTCAATAGGAGCTCCTGTTTTAGCCAAATCCACTACTGGACCGGGTAATCTCCCGGGCATTTCCTCCCTTAAATCAACCAGAAAGTTCAAGGTTCTCCGCCTCTTTTGGGCTTATTTCTGTGTGTGGGCAAATGTGTTGGCTTGACTGGAAACTGCCAAGATGAACTTGGTGCCCTCCGGATGTTTTGGACTACAACTCCCATAAATCCCTGCCAGGCATGGGAGTTGTCAAAACGCCTGGAGGACACCAGGTTGCTTAGTCCCAGTCTAACTGTTGGCATGGGCGATGAAGCAGCAGCAGATCAAGAAGTGTAGACTCAGGAGCTGAGAGTGGCAGTGTGAAAGAGCCGCCTGCAAAACTCTCCCTCTTTTGGTTTGAGAGACTTCTTCCATTCAGCCCTTTCGATCCAATAGGCATAAGGGGCCCTTTGCCCAGAAGATACCTAACGAAGATTGTTTTACTCACAGTAAGAGCTCATTTGGATACAATGCTAACTTACCCTGGCAATAAGGCACAGTGTGTGTGTGTTGTGGGGAGGGGGGGGATTCCCTGTGAACAACCAATGGCACTGGACAGATGATAGGTTTTGCCATGTGTTAGAAACATAGAAACAGAGCAAGTCAGAAGGGGTCTCCTGGGTCATCGAGTCTGACCCCCGGCTCCAG